ACTATGTCAGCAACCTGCCTGACGCAGCCTCTGACGTTGCGCACGACTGCTCATTTTTGCCGAGCCAATGTCAGAAGGACTTGAAAGCCGACATGGTTGCGGACTGGGGAGCATACGCGGACGACTCGGGCGGTATCATGTGCAGCGGATGGTCCCTTGACACCATCACGCCAAGCTGCCAAGAGGCCCTGGGATTTGTGACAGCAGATGTGCTGGGTAAGTGCAATCTCATTGATTCTTGCTCCTGAACACATGTATCGAGGTTGACTAATTCTTGCTTTCGATATGTAGGTTTTGATGCGTCCTATCTCGAAGATGAGGTCGGGGCCAGAGATGCGACAGTGGATCAAGTCGGACGCTATTCGTGGATGGTTGGCGACGGTTTCCAGGAACCAAGCACAGAGACAACGTACCATGCTGCAGCCAACAGGACCTATCTTGTTGCTACTGTGTTTGGGTACAGTTCTGGGTATAAAAGTTCAGTCCAGCCGAGGGTGGAACTTTCATGTCTTCGACCAAAGTGGATCGCACCTCCAGAGCCCGCAGAGCCGACTGAGACCACCACTTCTTCATCCTTTGCTCCTTCTTTTACCTCGACCTCGTCAGGCTCAGTATCTTCAAAGACAACGTCGGCGGCCTCTTCCATGTCATCGTCCTCTGGGTCCAGTACGGCTATGTCTTCCAAAACTGCTCCGGCCTCATCGTCGTCACTGACTCTGAGCAAGACTACTACTTCCACTGTGCCTGCATTGCCCTCCTCCACTACGCACTGCACAGGTATGTGTCATTACCAACCACCACCGTCTTTATGTTCCTGCAAAAAATTCTCCAAACTAACCTTTTTTCCTTCTTTCCCCCACCAGGTGGTACCACGGCTGAAGGGATTTCGGGCAATCTCCTCGGACTTTGTTCCTACAGCTGTGATTTTGATCACTGCCTCGACTCTGCTTGTGTCTGCACCCGGTTTGCGGCGGCAGCAGTTCCGGCACCAGCCCAATTGGCAGGGAAACACGGGTGCCCGGCAGACAACCAGAAACCTACCAACTCAGACTATGCGTATTATGTTGATTTGTGTGAGTTTATTTGCAGTCGGGGTTACTGTCCCGAAGGAGCGTGTAAAGGGAAACATTCATATTACAAGATTGTACAGTAAATAGGTGTATTCTGGGGGATATTGGCGAGTGAGTGGCGAGTTCAGTTGGAGACTCGTGGGGTAATAATGTAGTACTGTATACAGTCACATGTTTTCACATAAAAGAAAAATGGGAAGCCAAAAGACAGAACCTTCCCCCCTGCCTCTGAAGAAGCGGCAAGCCTGCATGTGTCAAACAGACGGGACGGGCCAGACTTGCCTTCCAAACTTTTGGAGCTAACCAACCCTGGCTCTTCGCGCGCCGATCCTACGCCGTTAAGGTGCAACCTCAAGGGGCTAGGTAGGGTTGGGCAGGTACGTAGGTAGTGTAGTGATATTTACGTACAGGGGTATTAGTGCACCAAAGAGAAGTACGTACATAGGTACCTATCTAGGTAGGTACTGCAGTAGAAGTACCAGACGCCGTTTCTATTTAATCGTTACCTGTCCCTTTCCTCCATCAGGCACTGCACACGAGACACACCAAATGTCCATCTTCTTATCTGAAAGTCTGCCCCACGAAAGGCCTTCAGCAGCTTCCATTTCTTTTCTCACCAAATGGTTGATCAGCACAATTCCAAGTGGCTCGAGGATCAGCAAGGGCATATTTTGAGAACGCTGATTGATCAGCACATTTCCGAACCGCAAAACACCGAGTCGCCATCCATCAACGAACCTCAGCCCGGCGACATGTTCCAATCCATCAGCAAGCGTGACATGATTCTCCAGGAGGCTCGCGTCGCCTTACGTGGGGAGCGCCTTCCCTATGACTATGTAAACGGACTCCTCTACTGCGTCATCCGCGGCATACGACACAACGAAGCCTTTGCCAGGTCTCAAGAGGTCGTGAAGCAGTGCAGGAAGCTTCCCGAGAGCAACTTTGCTCGGGCACGCAATGCCCGGCTCATCATGAGCAACCAGATCCCGAAAATGGCAACGGACGACGCCAAACCCTACTGTTTCTGGCACCCCGACATTCCCAGCGAAAGGACAATCCGTCGGCTGGTAAATCACTATCCCGACATGGCATATCTTGCTGGTCGGGCATGCGCCGTGGCAGGATACCATGAGTTGTATCATGAGCTTGACCTCCTTCCCGAGGTGTCGATTGCCGAAGAGGCTAGGGAACAAAATAACCCAGGATCCAAGGCCATCTTCGAGCACATCATGAAACAGCCGGTTTGCTACGCTGTCTTGGACGACTACACCAGGACTAACAATTACGAAAACCCACGGTGTCCGGCCTTTATGAACGGAGATACAGCCGTCCGATCAACGCTGGACGTGACAGTCGCCCCGGAGGATTATTGGGGTGAACATTATTTCAATCTGGACAGCGACGGGTTTCCGTTCGACATCACCGAGGACGGCCACATTGGCGAGGTCACGACGCACACATCGTATAATCAGGCAGAGCAGGGAACACTACCGCCGGAACACGTCGAGCTGCTTTATTTACCTCTGCCCCTGCATCTGCCCACCATGGTCAAAGACCCGCTGATCATCATGGCCGCTTATGAAGGCAACCTGGACCGCTATCTCCGCTTGCGTCGGCCGCACATGATCATGGGCGAGCACGGCGCCGTCCTTCGCGGGATATACCACAACACCACATTTGCCAAGTGGTGGTCGCTTCAGCCACGGGATGGACACAACTCGGGGTTTATCCGAGCAGCCACCCTTGCGCGTTTTATCATGGTCAACGACCTGTCGCACATGACGGAAAACGATCCCGATCCCGAAGCCAACCACAATGAGATCCCCGGCATGATCTGGTGGCCACTCGTCCCCGCCGAGAGAACGCTCGAGGTCCTCGCCAAACGTCGACCGGACATGCACCTCCAAGTGGCCATGGCCTGCATCGCCGGAAACTACAAGGAGCTATGGGACAAGCTGGCACCGGAGCCATCCAAACAGCTGTGGGACATGGCTACTTCTCAGCGCGATGCTAGCGTCCGGAACCACTTTGTCGAGTACCTCGAGCGTCGTGCTTCCGAGCTAGGACAAGTGGCAGACGACCGCCCCCTCCCTCAGGGCCTGGTTACGGAGTGCGACTATCCTGCGCACGACTGGTGCTGGGACGCAGCGAGAGTCATCAAGGAACCGTTTGATCCCTTTTTACAGTACTCCCCGTGCTTTCTGCCTAGGGATATTGTCATAAAGGAGACGGACGACCGTTTTGATATGGAGAACATCTATGGAGCATTCGAGCAGCCTTGTATGGCTAGGTGGGAACTCCGTATGTGTGCGACGGTGGAGACGATGGCCAAGATACCGGACGGTGAGGATGGCTTGAGGCTGTATGATGATTGTGGTGATGATGAACAGGGGCCGTCAACCAAGGACACGGAGACGAATAATTCCCTAGAGGTATCTTCGAAAGAAGCGGATGACGACGACGTGGAAGCAAGCAGCCAGGATAACGACGGGAACATAACACCACGGACCGATCATGATCCATCCTAACAAAATTTCAAGACTTGATACTGTGGCTAAAATGCATGGTACCTTATATATACAAAGAAACGCACCTTTTACTCCGATGCTCGCTCGCACCACCCTTAGTTGTGCTTTTCTTCATGATCTGATCCCAATGAGCCGCATCCAGATCCCTAGTGTAGTCAGCTCTTCCATTACACAGTTTGAGACTATACCGGTAACCGGACTGGACTTCAAAACGGCCAATCCATAACCGTCCTCTCCTCATTCCTCCTCGTCACCTGCACCTCATCACCCACACTAATCCACACTTCGCGCTCCTCCTCAACAACATAAACACTCTCCCCCACAAACGCATACCGCCCAAACACAGGACTCCACTTCATCCCGATGGGGCCCTTGGTTCATCACAGGAGATGCAGGCGGCTTAGCATCAGCCTCGAATTCGAGAGACTGAATGCTCTCGGGGTACACAAAGAGAAAAAGACTGATTGGTCTTTGATGGTCTTGGAGAAGAGCGGGTCCCTTGAGAATGAACAGTGCTTGGTTGTCCGGAGTGTCGACGTGCAAATCAATATAAAGGTTAGAAGTGTGCCGTATATGATTGTCATTATCGTTCCAAGCAACCACAACAGCCAGAGCAGGAAGATAAACTTTGCAATGTACTATATCATCGCTGATATCAAACGCAGCCGCTATGTCGTGATCGTCCTGTCGCTCGAAACTACCGTAGAGAGGTTCGTTATTAAGCCATTACAACACGATATGGACAGTGCGGTGGAAAGTAGATGAGAAGGAGGAATGGCCCCGTCGCTCCCGCATGACGATGCAGCTGTCAGCGAGTTCCACCTATCGAGCACCCCAGTCCTTTCAACAGGTACGTGATGAGTGGGAGTTGGCTAGTTTTTACGGCCCTCGACTTGTGGATGACCGGCTTTCAGCACAGCGGTAGGATAGAGACGGAAGAGTTGTACAAGACAACCGTCCCGCCGCTCCCTTACAACGATGCAATCGGCGAGTTCCACCTATCGAGGACCCCAGACCTTTCAACAGGTACGTGATGAGTGGGAGTTGGCAAGTTTTTACGGCTCTCGACTTATGGATGACCGGCTTCCAAAATGACGCCAAGACAGGAACGGAATGGTCATGTCAACCGTGCCTGATGAGTAAGAGTTGGCAAGTTTTTACGGCCCTCGACTTATGGATGACCGGCTTTCAGCACAGCGGTAGGATAGAGACGGAAGAGTTGTACAAGACAACCGTCCCGCCGCTCTCGCATAACGATGCAACTGTCGGCGAGTTCCAAAGGGTAGAGATAACACAGAAGGCTGCAGAAGCGACCAACTCTGCCCACCACCTATCGAGGACCCCAGTCTTTTCAACAGGCAAGCGGCCATTGCATAGCCAGGACGGAGACGGTGTAGGCAGGACGAGATAGAGGAGAAAGGGGAGAGGGATGAGGAAGTCGTGGTAGAGTGGAACTTAACAGAGACCTATCGTAGTCGTTGTGTGGGTGGTGTTCTGTTGCACAACCGGACAATAGTTGGATGTCGACCATGGAGCTTGGTAGAGCTCACACCCGACACGCTCCCATGTACTGGAAAAGTACTGACCGTGGAGAGCGAGCTGTGGGAGGCGGATGCAGAGGCTCGAAATCGTATCGGGGTAGCGAACGTCTTCCATCTTGTGTGTCGCCATACAAATCTAACGATTCAGCGTTGCCGAGCGGAGTGTCGCGGAGTTCGCTATAAATGGCATGTTCGTGTTAGCTTTATGCACATATTATACTTGAATGAAATGGAAGTTGGAACAACGTACCTTCTGCACGAGAACGCCTGTGCTGAAGGGAAAGGGGATGAGCGAGGGAAGCGGGAGGATGGTTGGCTGAGATCCATGGCGAAGGCAGGGCGTCATGTGGGGCGATGGTCCGGGTACAACCTGGAAGCTCGAGGGTGAATGACGGAATGTGTCAAAATGATGGGAAACAGCCTCCCTTTATTAAGCAATGTTTGTCTCGCACTTGCCTGAGAAAACCTCACACCCTCCTGCCTTTTACCATCGGCTCGCACTTTTCACTCCCAGATTCAAGAAACGCACCTTAGCAATATCAAAAAGGTAACGCATCGACGAAACTCGGCACGCCAAGAGTGTTCTTTTGGTTTTGTCAGATATGACGGTACGAAGTTGATTGATGGAAAGTGTGTGTGTTACTCCACGGAAGGGGTGTTGGGGACTACTGGGTTCCCAATTTAGCTGGCTCAGGTCCGTGAACGGGTGTTCAAATCACTAACAGGAATGGGTGCGATTCTCACCAAACCTGTTACAGTTCTGCACACTCCATTAACGAAACCACCCACCAGTAATGGAAATCAGGTCAAAATTAGGAGGTGGTTGGACAAGAGGATAGCCAGACCCCACGTTTGAAATCTGACAGGTTGCGGGGACAGCCGAGGTAACCTCCGGACTAAGCAGCTGCAGAGCCCAGCAAGGCCAAAGAATCATTGGAACCAATCAGCGGTGGTCTCCCGAAAAGACCTGAGTACCTTGCAATTCGATGCTAGTTTATATATTGTCTTATCACGCTA